GAAACTAAATTGTAATAAAAAGTTGAAGTTAGGGATTAAATTGAATAAATTTGAATTTTGAGGAAAAAAAGTGCACAAGAATTAAAGTTAAGGGGCCGACTTATGTTGTTTTACCATTAAAATTTGTTAGATTTAACTGGTGAATTTACGGTGTTTATAACATCCGTTCAATGGAGGGATTAAGGTTGGCCCTTTCTCTAAAGTTGAGAGATCATTATGGATTGTTTTTAAATAGAAGGACAATAATGACTCTCTTTATAAAGTTGGAAGATTTTTAGTGAGATTAAGTCTAAAATAATTAATATTTATTATTTAATAAATTAAAATCAGTTTAAATACTTATATTTTTAAATATCATAATTCATTATTTATAAAAAAAAATTCCGTACCCTTGATAATTTATTGAATGATTGTAATCATTACATCTCATTTAGTGTGACTAGTTTTCTAAATAAAACCAAATAACTTATTCAAATAATAATACATTTATTGTCTTATAATTTAAATTTGAAAGTTTTATATTTAAAATTTTTAATTCTTCCATAAGACTCAAGAGGTATTTAATTAATAATACATGGAACTAACTATCTTGTCTTGATATAAAATAGAATATGATGAAATTGGATAAACCAATCATTTAGTATTAAATTTCATCACCATTCTCCTCTACCCACTACTAAAATTTTTGTTTTCAGCAACTAAGTATCAGCAACGTGAAATTGCTTGTCGATGATATGAATTTTCACCGACAAAACCCATGTTGCTGATACTTAAATAGTACACATTTAAATAGTACACATTTTAACAAAAAATGTTCTTTACTTTTAGTAACATGGTTCTTGTTGCTGAAAAACCATGTTGCTGAAATTTTTTGGTTACTGTTCATGACCAGATTTTGCACCAATTTCATAAATTAATTAGTAAAAAATGGTATTTACTTTTAACAACAAGATTCTTGTTACTGAAAGTGAATTTCATTATTTTTTAGCTAAATTAGATATTTAAATCATTTAAATAAAAAGTGAATAATATAATTAT